GGGGGGGGGGGGGGAGTTTGTGTGTAGCCGTCTTAGTTTTATGTCACATTTTTGGCCTGTCGTTCCCTTCGAGCTGCTTCTCCAGGTCCTTCATCATGTCTTCCTGCTTCTCAGGTCCCTTTTCTTCTTTCTTCTCCACCTTCTTTTTGACGGTGGGCGGACCCTACACACGTGAAAGGCATACACACTGATACACGTGTCACCCGGTTGTGTATCTGTGTACACATGTGTCTCTTCTCTTTCTGTATCTCACGGTGAATTTCATTTGCGACCGCTTCTCCGCCTCTTCGTCTTCACTCTGCACGCAGTCACACCAGCCGTCTGTCTACATGTTTTCACTCTTTTCGTGTATCTTTGGTACGCCTTCTCTTTTCAGGGCCCTAATGGCAGCTGCTCAACACATAGTAAACAGCATGCAGAAAGTATCTGTATCCAATTCACGTCTCTTGACGGGCACGTACCCAACATTCCGTCCCGCCCTTCGGCAGGAGGTGCCTTTGGTGGCCCTCCTCCTCCGGCACGTGTTGGGGGGCCGCCAGGAGGCGGGGGAGGTGGCGGGGGCCCTGGGGGGGCTGGAATACCACCACGGGGTGGAGGGGGAGGCCCAGGGGGAGGCGGAACCCCCGGCTTGCCTAGGGGCCCACCAATTGGAGGGGGAGGGGGAGGGGGGATCTGACCTGACCTCAAAAAGAGCAAACAAGGTGGATACCACCCGAGGTGACATGACGTATGTATGTTCGTGGAAGGCTTGGTGTGTACCAGGCTTGACTTGGACGGGTGGGGCGGCAGGCGGCGCTGCAGGAGGAGCAGGGGGCTCCGCCTTCTTCGCCTTCTTCTTCCCGATATCTTTGGGAGGTGGGCCCAGGGGAATATTCTGAGACGCACATCCATCCGTCGGGCAATGGAGCGTGTACGTTTATCGGTGTTGCGTGTTGTGGGATGTGGGACACAGAAATTTATTACGCCCTGTTTGTTCACCAGATTCTTGAGAGCTTCCTTGTTGAGCTTGCCCACGGGCCTGCCGAGCCCAGGGGCCGCTGGCATCTCTTCGGTCTCTTTGGTGACTGCACCTGCACCCACTGCATCCAGACGCATTAGTTCCTCTCTATGTGATGGGTGTCCCTCTCTGTCCTACCCTTCCCACGTTTCCCGATCTGCTTCTGCTGTGGCGTGGTCTTATGCGTGGTCTTAGCGAGACCAGCCATGATGGCTTCCTTGTCCTCCTTCGACACTGGTACAGCTCCCCCTGTGTGTGGACGCAGCGCCCGTGGACAAATGAACGTGGGCATCAGCCTGTGATTCGTACGTACTTTGTTGCTCGATTTCGCCCCCCGTTTCCCACTCGTCCTCGTCTTCTGCTTCTGCAGGGGGCGTGTAGGCGCTCGCAGGCCGTGCAGGCTGTGCAGCCTGGGGACGCCCGTCTGAACACGATGACATGTAGGGAACGTGGGTGTATGTGTGTGTGTGCGTGTGCGAGTGCACATACACGATCTGTGCCTACGTGTTTTTGGTTTCTGTTCGCCCCACATCTTTGCCCTTTCGCGGACAGATACTTCCCCAGAATCCACGTCTGAACACAGACATGGCAGGAGACATACCCGTGTTGACGTGTTGTGTGTGCCAGTATGTCTGCATGTCTCTGCTGGGCGGCGCGGTTCTTACCATCTTTTGGTCCGACCGGTAGTTCCGTCCTGATAACTCTGGGAGGGACTGCGCGCTGAGGGGGGGATGGCCTGGGCACAGTCGACTTGGTTGCGCCCGTCGGCTTTGGCTTGATCGGCGGCTTGGGTCCTGACCAATCACACATCAACACGAATATATCTGTCTGTGCGTGTGTGTGTGTGTGTGTGTGCGAGTGTGTGTCCCTGCAGGTGTGCACCTCTTGGCTGTTTCCCGCTAGTGGTGGTGGTGGTGACTTTCTGTGCCTCCTTCTTGTCTGCTTCGAAGCTGTCCTTTTTCAGCTTAAATTCCGCAGCACGCTGCTTCGCAGCCTGCAGTGAAGTGAATGTGAATGCATGTGTGTCGGGAAGTGAGCACCCATCGTTCCGGAGGCCTCACGTCTTCCTGTTCCTTCCTCTGTTGGCTCTGCCGTTTTCTCTCGGCGTTTTCTCTGCGTATACGTTCCCGCATCTCCTTGTCCGTCTCAACGGGCTTCTGTTCGAACACGGCCAGTTTGCTCTTGTCGAGCCTCTTGCGTGTAGGGGGCTCTTCCGTAGGCTCATCATCAGACGCGTAGCCATACACCGTCTCCATTCTTGGTGACAACGGAGGCCTATTCTGCATACGCATGACGGACCATGGAATATGGGAACCTCTCTCTCTCTCTCTGTGTGTGTGTGCGTGTGTGTGTGTGTGTGTGTATACCCTTGAGGCCCTCTTGTGTCTGCTATGCTCATGGTGGCGGACGGAATAGGTGTGCCGCACCGCTGCTGAGAAGAGAGCATACAAGGAACAGTAGAGAGCACTCCATCGGTGTGCACAGCCACTGGACACTCACATGCTGATCGGAGGACACCGGTCGCATTTTGCCAGCTTTGGGCATACTGCATGATCATTAAAGGGCATTTGCACAGTGCACACACAGGTCTGACTCAGCCTGCGGCATTCCCCACTCCGTCCACTGCATGTGCCTGTCCCTGCCTCACTGACCTGTTGCATCAACGAGGAGGGAAAGGGGAAGGGGAAGGCATTATCTGCCGATGACACATGGATGGGAAATCGATGCAAACAACCATCCGAATGAGGATGCTGCGCCTTCACGGACTGTGGTGTGCTCACCTTCATGGAACTTCACGCCACGAACAGGAATCGCACACACAGTCACCACAAGCAGCAGCACAACAGAGAGCCGGGGAGCGGCCGGGACAAGCTCGGGTGCGCCGGGGGGACGATGCATATCAGCCATCTACACGCGAGATGAGAAACATCCTGGGGGCGCCTGGGGGTCCCGATCGCAGTCTCAAATCGGGTCTCACCTCTTCCCGGCGATAGACTCGCTGCCTTCATGTAATGCACGAAAAACTACTGAGAGCCTCACAGTCCCTCTGACACACCGCAGATCTCTTTCGTCTGCTCCAATAAAACCGTCTCTCTCATCCGGTCATGCATGTCTCATGAAAAGCCAAAAAACACGCCGACACAATGTCTCGGTAGGGCCCCTTGATGCAGCAGATTGTCCGAAGGCCCGTTGGATCACAGCTTGCAGAGCAGTTTCCCGGTGTTCCTTCCCTCGAACAGCCGTATGAACGTTTTGGGGAGGCTCTCAAAGCCCGCCTGGATGTCGTGCGCCTGGTGGATCTGACCCTGCAAGACCATTCACACATCTGCGATGCATCTCTTTATGTACGAAGGCATATGTACCGATTTGCTGAGCCTGCCAAGCTCATCTACAGCCTCGCCAAAGCTTGAGGCGAAACGGGGCACCAGAAAACCCTCCACTCGGGCCGATCTGCGTGACGAGAAGGATGCATTGCACGTACCATTGGGCGTGGTGTCGTGTGATACTTACTTCTTGACCAGCTCAAAGTAGTTGCGGATGCCTGCGATCTGCACACGTGGACAGACACACGTACATGGCTGGGGGGAAAGGTTTGATAATATGCTTGACCTCTTTGCTGGGTTTCTGATATTCGCCGATAGCGCCACAGAGCACGACGGTGCCGAACTCTCGCAGACACGATATGCCTGCCTCAAGGGTCTAAGTGACAGGGTGACAGGGATGCCCACGTGTACATCTGTGCATCTGTGAGGGTGGGGATGTGATGTGATGTGATGCGGTATACTTACTTCGCCGCCGACGTTGTCGAAGAACAGGTCGACGCCTTCGGGACACCTCTCCATTATGCACCTGGCGGCACAAATGAAAAAGGTACACACATTGATGTGGCCGAGTGTCAGTGTCAGTGTTAGCTACCGACCTCCTGAGCCCCTTCCTCTTTGTCTCTTGGCTCTTGTAGTCTATCGCCGCATCAAAGCCAAGAGTCCTGCAGAGACACGCACGTGTCACACATGCGGATTCGCACAGCCATGCCCCGATTCATGTGGTTGGGCGTACTCGACGAGGAATTTGCACTTCTCCGGTCCGCCAGCGATGCCCACCACCGTCTTGGCGCCATACGCCTTGGCAAGCTGACCTGTACACCACACACATGGGTAGAGACGATCACACGGACGTGTGCGCCCATGTATACGTGTGTGTGTGTTACCGACGACTGAGCCTGTTGCCCCGGCAGCAGCTGACACAAGCACCGTCTGGCCTTCCTTGACGCGACCCACCTGCACACAGACACGCAGGCACATGTGCGCAGTATACATGGCACTTGTGCATCGATGTGTGTGCGCACCTTGACGAGGCCGACGTAGGCAGTGAGGCCGGTCACACCTGCACAAGTGTACCCGTACAAGGCCACAGAAGATCGGTACACGTGTGCACACAAAAACAAACGAGTGAAGGTACTGACTGGCTCACGGACCAAACAGCGAAATGCCCAGCTCCATTGGGACACCGGGGGGCAGCTGCACGTATACACGTGTGGAATCGACGTACCGGTTTGAGGACAGGCACACACACATAAGCCATGTGTGTGTGGATGCGTACCACTACTTTGGCAAGCCGCTCCGACTGCCGCGTGAGCCGCTCCTTCGGGTCGGCGATGGCGTCTGGTTGCCATGCACACGCACACACACACACACACAACACACACGTCGTGTGGATGTGCGTGTATCTCTCGACGCAAGCAGCCTTACTGCAGACACACTCGTGACGTACCGGCCTTCTTGACCTCATCGGGGCTGATAATCAGATAGTCCTGCCACCCACCCAGGCACCGAACCAAGTCACCTGCAATCAACACACCGCACACACACACACACGTGCACACAACCCCCCGCACAGACATGCTGGAGTACTACCAGCTTGCCAGTCCGGGTGTTTGGATGCCACCACTCGCGACAATGAAATGGCGCGCATGACCTCGCCGACTTTAATCTTGGTGACGTAGCTGCTGTCCCTGCCCATCCACACACACGCATCCACACACACGCATCCACACACACACACACACACACACAGACAGACAGACAGACAGACAGTCGTGTATGAGAGAGAGTGTAGTGGGTGTGCGGACGTACGTCAGCCAAGTCCGTTGGGCGGGGTCGAATGAGATGAGCAGCTGCACACACACACACACACACACACACGAGCACACACAGACAGGGCGATGAATGTGTCCATCCATCCATCCACTGCGCACCTGTTTGAGCATAACTTCGCCATCTTTCAGCTGTGCATCGTCCACACGAGTGTCCGCGCGCCTGCATGCACAAACACCGCACCAACACTCATGTGAATGTCCGTGCGTCCCTGTGTGTGTGTGTGTGTCTGTGTGTGTACCTGAAGTCCCCTTCCGTCGTTTTTCCCTTCACATCTCTCGCCAGCACCCATCGGCGGTTCGTGAGAGGCGCCATCTCACACACCTCAACCGCACACAAACACGCAACAACCCCGACCAGCACTGCAAGGCAAGGCGCCCGCATCAATCTCACGAGCCTTTCGGGAACGCGCAGATCTCTCCGGCGTGTGCAGGCTGAGCTCGCAACAGAGCTGTGACCTGGCTGGTTATTGCTGCTGAGGGTGTGCGCGGAGGTGTGTGGGAGATGTCGGTATCGCTTTGTTCATTGCCGCTCGCCGGCCATCATCATGTTGGTCAACATCAGATCTGCCGCTGTCCGGCTGACAGTGTGTTTGTGGTCCCTTGTCTGCCTTTCCCTGCAGCTGCCGTGCACAGACACAGAGGTCGGCCTGGCTGCCTGCCTGCCTGCATTGCACACCCTCGGGGTGTGCTCGTGTGTATGGCGTGGATGGATAGATGTGTGTGGACGTGTGTGCGCAGCCGTGCCGACTCATCCCTCTTCGTGTGTCCTCAAAAGAAGAAGAAGACGACGGTTGCTGCTGGCCAACAGGTGCGCAAACGCAGACAGACAAGGACAGGTACCTGTCCACACAGAGTCCCTGTCTGTCTGTGTGTCTGTGTGTGTGTCTGTGTGTGTGTGGGTGCTCTGACTGACTCAATCAGCGCACAGCAGGACGGTGAGCAGCAGCAGCAGGAGCAGGAGCCTGGAGGCAGGAAAGAAGACAAAGGCAAAGAACAGCAGCCAGAACAGACGCGATTTGGTCGCCTGCTGGGTGAGCACACACACACACAGATGAGTGCTGTCCTTGTATACCCATTCACCCCTGCGTGAAGGCGAGGAGCGTTCGGTGCGGACGGATGGCCGCAGCCGTGGGTACGAGGCCGACCAGGAGATCATCTCACTCACCAAACAAATGGACAAACGGAGGGACGGCGACAAACAAGACGAAAGGTGCGGCCGGCGCACTTGTCGGTGTGTTCGTCTGTCTGGGTTTGGAAGTGTGTGTGTGTATGTGTGTGTATGTGTGTGTGTGTGTGGCAGGTGGCAGCGGAAGCTGCTGATGGCCTTCACGGGATTGGTCAAGAACTACAAACTGCCGGCACCAATGAGGGTGAGCATACGTGGGCGCGTGTGTGTGCCACATGTGTCTGTTTGGGCTCTTTGCCGTTTGTTTGTGTGGTCAGATAGTCCTGAACTCGTCGGTGTTCCGGCTGCTGATGTTCTGGCTGGCGTACTACCTCTACGTCACGCTCATCGAACACAAGGACTTCTGGCCACACTTCGACAACGGCGATTGATTGAACGGATCCAACACCGCACCGACCAACGAAAAGCTCTACGTGCGTGTCTGCGTGTGTGTGCATGTCTGTTGGTGTGCTCACGTATTCTAGGCATTCTTGCGTGGCGGGACGGTGTGTGTGTGTGGGGGTGGGGGGTGGGGGGGTGGACACTCTCTTGGTGTAAAGCTAGAGGTGCAGAGAGGTGTGTTGTAGAGTCGATAGAGACGATAATTCTGCATGTGCTCGTGTGCCAGGCAGCCTCGGCTTTGTTGCTGTGTGTGTGTACAGCAGTGGGTGAAAGTGGGTGCGTGTGTACGTGTGTGTGGACCGATGGCGTTACGCACTGACACAAAACCGCTGTTGCACGTATTCATCCGTCATGGTCCGCACACACACACGGCCTCTTGACATTGTGTGTCCCCGTCGACGTCTCGATGCATGCACACACATCATCAACACGGGGCGAGCCCCGTGAGACAGACACGATGAGATAACAACACTCACACACAACAATACTGAAAAACGGCAGGGCAACAAGGAACGAAGAAGGCTCTCTCACCAGCACTCTCTACACCTATCCGCCCCTTCCCCCCTCCCTCCTCCATGTGCACACACACATGAAGAATGCATAATGCATAAATATCCTTCCTGGCTGCCTCCCTGCCCGCCCGCCCAACTCTGCCCCATCCCAGCCACCTTCATCATCACTCGCCCTCTGGCCCCTCTCGCCGTCTGAACCGCTCGTCAAGCCCGACGGGGAACGCTGCACACACACACACACACACACAACACGTGTGCAGGGATGTGTGTGTGTGTGTGTTGTGTGGTTTCTCACACGTACCAGGGGCGAATAATCGTTCGGCTGAGCCGTAGACGTGCTTGGTGATCTGAATGTCCACACACACACATATACCACACCTGTCTGCCTGTCTGCCTGTCTGTGTGTGTGTGTCTGTGTGGGCGTCTCCCCCCAGTGTACCTGCATCATTTTGCCGCATATCACGCGGGTCTTGTCGTAGGTCTTGACCACCACCTCCCTGCACACACACACACACACGGGTGCGTCTGAATGCGTGTGGTCAGCAGTATGTGCGAATATCATTACTTGGGTCGTCCCATGTTGAAGGCGGCGTCTTTGCTGCTCTCCATAATCAGCCGCAGCCGATCCGCCACCAAAGACGCAGCGTCTCGGGCGACCTGCAGTCGTCCAGCCATCCATCCATCCATCCACCACATGGACGCAGGTGCACTGCGCTCACCTGGGCGGTTCCCCTCTTGTGAATGTCATCGCGGACACTGTCGTACCTGAGAGAAAAAAAGTAACAACCACACACATGTTTGTGGGCGATAACGGATTGATCAACAGAGAAAGCGAAAGCGTCTCTTTCTGTCTTGTTGGTGGCTCACCAGGCCTTGAACGGCGACGTGCCGCGCGGTGCAGCTTCGTCCTGTGTACATACACACACACACACACGTGTGAATGGATCAATGAATGGATGGATGGACGGACGTACCTCATTGTTTCCATTCATCCCGCCCACGCCGTCCCCCCCGTTGGTGTCGTACAGCGAATGCCACGGACTCCTCAACGCGTCGCTGAACGAACCAACACAGGAACGAACCACCAGGAGGTCGGTCTCGTCGCTCCCTCATCCACTCACCTGTCTGATTGTGGTTGTGTTGCGTCCCCCCACTCTTTCTCTCTCTTTGGCAGGCTCGCGCCCAGCCGGTCCTCAAGCGAAGAGATAAAAACTGCCGACAAACAACACAGCACAGCACATACACACCGACCGCTAAATGTGTGTGTGTGTTGTGAGCGCACCATCTCCCTCGACATTTGGTGGTGCCGTGGGCAGGTGGGCGCTCGCTACTGTCCCTGCAGACACACATACACAGACAGAGACAGAAAACACAACTACATGTGTGTGGTGTGTGTCGGTCTGTCTGTCTGTGTGTATTGTAGCCGACGGACGGACCTTTGACGTCTCCTCTGATGCCGTCATAGGCAGAGGGAAAGGGCTCCTGAGCTGTAGGAGGCAGACACAAACATCCACGCACACGATAGACTAACTCTTGCTGCTGTATGTTGTGTGAGTCCCCACGTGCATACTCGTACCGATTTGCAGGCCGATTCCGTCGCATCTCATCAGCCCCATCGGCTTGTTGCTGGGCAACGCGCCATCGCTGACACACATCATTTGCACACATCCATCCAACCACAGACACAGACACGTGCCACTTCCCTCCCTGCTCACATCTCGTCTTCCAGCTCGGCCATGTCGTCGTCATTGTCGTGCCGCTGCCCAGCCACGGCCGCCTCGGCAAAGTTGGGGGGGAAGCACGCGGTGCGGAAGAACGAACCTGCAGGTTTGTTGTGAAGGTGCACACACCTGTGTGTGTGTAGCCAGCCTTGTGTACCGATGCAAATCATGGCCTGCGTGTTGTGGTGCACGGGGTGCAGGTGCGCAGCCTGATGATGTAGACAGACAGACAGGCAAGCAAGCAATGTGCTCCTCCCCTGCACAGATGGACGTGTGTGTGCTGCAGGCGCTCACCTCTGGCGTGATGTCATCGGGCAGCCGCGCTGCCCGCCCAAGACACCGATACGTTGGAAGAGGCAAACTCTGAACACAGACAGAGACCACACAACACAGTAGACACCCACTCCACGGGGCCGCTTTGCTTCCTTCTTCACTGCTTCACTGATTGCTTCACTGATTGCTTCACTGACTGCCTCACTGACTGCTTCACTGCTGACACACGCACGTACCTCTCCCTTCTGGTTCCGCTCTCGGTTCTCGAGGAGCAGCGCTACGCCCCAGCAGCTCTCCACCTCTCCGGGGTGTGGTGGCGTGTGTTGTGCCGATGACGACGAACAGTCAGCATTGTCACCCATCGCTCATGCGCACGGTTGGTTGGTTATTGTGTTTAACGAGACTCGTGTCTGTAACCCCGAGGGGATCCTGTCCAGGTCACGCACTAAACTAGCAGCATGCACATGCATAGAAGCATGCACACGGCCTGTCTCCCCATCCCACCCACCCACCCACCCACCCACCCACTCGACACGCACGTGCCACCCTATGATGGTCAGAAAATCGCTGTCGACAACGGATGACAGCCAGACATAGGCAAGACACCCAGAGGCTACTCAGAGAGCTCGACGTCGAGCGCCCACTGATCTAAGACATGCTGTCCGTACAGCAGCTCGTCGTCTTCCCCTGCCTGACTGTCTGGCAAGAATGGGTTGAGGGCAAGCCACTCAGTGCGTGTCGCCTGTGCTGACAGAAGAAAGTCGGCCGCTGCAGAAAGCACCGGCAGTTTGTCCGATTGCAGCACACAATAAGTGAACACAATTGGATGTGACCTGCGCCACAGACGATAACTAGAGGCATGAGGGGCAGTCACGCCATGCCGGCCGACAATTGTGTGCAGAGTGTCCCGCAGAGAGCGATACAATGGACAGGATGCAAAAACATGAGACTCATCCTCAATGGGAGGGCGGGTGATTGATTGCCCAGTAAGGCTCACGGCAGATACGAGCAAGTCAGTTCTGTGCGAGCAAAACGGGCAGACGCTGCCCTCTCGCGGCCGGCCGAGGATGCGTCCATCCATGATGGCAGAAGGGTAGCAGCCCACACGAAAAAGAAACAGAACACGGCGCTTACAAAACGGCAGTGACAGGTAGGAAGGAAAGCACGGCAACGGCTGAATGAGGCGATGGAGCCAGTCTTACCCTTGCTGCACCACATGCATATACGCAGCAGCAGGCACATATGGCGCCATACACACAATCGAGTCCATGTCACACGGGCAGTCACGTAAGGGAGACGGAAATGAACGATGTAAGCGAGGAAATGCTATAAGAAAGGCATGATTGAACAGAGAGGATGGCACGAACAGCTCCTTGCGTGCCTGAAAGAGGGCCCTACGAGTAACAGCTGTCTGACCACACGCATATGTGCGCCAAGGCAGTAAGGATATCGCCTCGGCGGAGAGAGAGAGGGGCGGAGGAAGTGAGGGAGTGTTACACATATCAGGCAACCGAGCACGATTCCATCGCTCGGTCAAAATACGAGCAAAGTCTGCCTTTGTATGCGCCGTGATCATGTGTTTGGTATCGATAGCACTCAGCGGGCCAATCTGACTAATCCGGACACGCTGGCCCATGAAATCGAATGTGCGTGCAAACAGAGTGAATG